CTATCCCAGTGGCTGGTACCTTGTGGATCCATAGAGGATGTGTCCTGCAGCTGGTTGGATATCTACCTACACTTGAAATAAGGTGGCTTTAAGATGGAAGATTTCCTTTGGCCAGCATCGATATTGGAGTTACTCTTTTCTAGAAGTAACGATCCCATTTCTTGGATAATATTAAGGCCTTGCTGGATGTATCCCTGCTGCCAGATGGAGCTATCTTACTCTACAACACGTGGCGAAGTTCTCTGTGGAGTATCTTCGGAATACTAGAACCTAAAATTCGGTGAAAGCTTGATGCCTAGTCCTCAGTTCTCACTATACGCAGTGGGTATGTTAATTGGATTGTCACCACAAAATTTCTAGTAAGACTTTAATGATGCAGCCCCTTGGATTCTACCGACAACTCTTAGCCATGGAAATAACGCTTGGATGGAGAAGACCGAAGGCTGCTTGTGATGGTTCCATTTTGGATCTACATCATTTCCAAGTTATTGGGATTATTCCTTCTGATGGTATTGGCAAAAAGAGATGATGGACATTACTAAATTTTGGAAATTATAGTGTTTTTGTTTTGTTTTTTTTTTTAATGCTGGGATAAGAACTACTGCCTTGAATTTATTGGATGGTATACAGTCAAGACGCCAGTAGCCATGGGGAGTGGATTACTATCTAGTCTCTTAAAAAGCTCTCTGCTGCTCCACATTAAACATACTTTAGCTTTAAGGACGTGGTGCTAATGCCATTTGTGGATACACCAGTGAGAAGTGACTGGGCTGGATGGTTACCAAGGCGGCCAGAGGATGCCTGTGGGCAGCAGCGTGAGGGCCCTCGGGCCTCGGGGAATCTTCTACCAGCTGCTTGATTCAGACTTAGGGCTGGAAGTTAAAATAATGGATCTATTTAAGTGCCTTCTGTCTCAAGAAAGAAGTCTGGGGGTTTCAGAGTTACAGTTTCAGTCTGGGACTACTTCCGTCCAGTGGAATTTTTTTTTTTGTATCTTGTCACTAAGATTTTTTTTTTTTCTTGTTGGTTCATCTAAAATATCATTTGACACCCTTGCCCATTAAGAAGGTGGATTACCCCTGTAAGAGGGGCCAAAATTGGGGAAGTTATGTTCACAATTCTCTCCCTAGATTTAATTGGGAATATAGGTCGTGTTTCCACACTTGGAAAAGGTTGGTATGTCCTGCCCTGTGTATATTAGCCCCTCTCCTAACCCAAGTCAAACCCTCTCTTTCCACTAACTCCAGTAGCACTTAGAACTAATAGATAAATGAAGAAAGCACTGTAGCCAGTAGCTGTTCAGCTCTGCTTCCTCTGTCTGTCTTCTGTGTCCTTCTCACGGATAAGGATTTGTTCTTTCTGTCAGCTTGGTAGCAGTAACCCGCTAGAAAATACTGCTTTTTCTCTGACCTCATTTAATCAGCTCTCACTGATTAACACCTCCTAGGATGCTAAATGCAATCGTTTATAAAATTGTTGATCTTGGTCCTTCAAAAGGGGGGAAAAAAAAACAGAGATACGTTTCTGTGCCAGATCCTGAAATATCTTTCCAAATTCCATTGTTGCGAGCAAGAGGTAATGGAAGTAGAAAGGCAACAATGAATTTCAAGCAGATGTCAAGTTAATGACATTCTGTTGCATGGGTAAAGTAGTAAAGTAGTTTCTTATATATAATTGGAGAGAAAAAAATGCAAGCAAAACATGAGCAAGCTCCATAGAAAGCTTGATACTACAACAGAGGGTGAATATATTGAGAGGATTAAGGATCTAGTGATTCATTGGAGAAGGAATGGAAGGAACTTCCTGAGATGCTAATCGAAAAAAGATTTAAATCCAATTTTCAGTTTATGAAAGATCCCTGAAATATTTCTGCCATTTGAACTAGAGCTGTGATGCAGGAGAGGAGGAGGAGGCACTAGGCAGAATTGGGTTATCAGGATTCAGGGGGATTGAAGTGACTCATAACTGACTCTGAAGGAAGAATCCAAGAGAGAGGGCTGAAAAAAAAAATAAAATTGAAGTGTCCTTCATAAGATGGATAATTAATTTTTAAATTAACTTTGGCTACCCTGACATATTTAGAATTTTACGAGTATTTTTTAAATGTTCAACGTAATCAATCTGGATTTCCATTTTGTGGATGTAACTGAGACGTACCATCCTGGTACTTCTAAATTAAACTCCTCAACTGTTCGTAATGTTCCTTTAACTTTATCTGTCAGTTTTACTATCTCTTTATTTGAGAGATCACACTAACTCAGAACATCACCGAGCCTTTCTCAGTCGACATCCAAAATGTTGGAAATACTGAAACCAAGTGGACCGTAGCTGCTGGAAAGCAGTGTAGTCATGGAGATAGAAATTCTGTGATTGCAGCAACAGCAGCAATCGCAACAAAAACACCTCCTGAAAATTGGATTCCTACTCCTTGTGCAGGGGACCTGCATCCTTGCAGTTCTAACATTAGTAATGGAAATGTCTGTGAGTGTAGCAGTCTGGTGAGGCCAAAATTCCCTCCAAGAGGGTGAAATACTTTAGAACAGCAACAAGAAAACCCCTAATTTTCTGGGACTTCTCTATGGGTTATGCCACCCCTTTTGAAAGCAGCTTCTTATCTCTGGGTCATGCTTTGCACGGAGGCTTTCATGGCTACAGCCTGGTTTGCCACACCATTTTTGCAGAAGGATAATTACAAGAGCTCCAGTAATTACCAAATCTCAGAAAAAAAATATTGAAGCTCTTAAGCAAAAACTGGGGGGGGGGGGAGAAAGAAGTTATGATGATCTCCACAAACATGAAAATTTTCTGGTTTACTGAACTTAAAAGAACCAAAACCAAACAAAACTGAAATGAGGATTCTGCGCTGGAAAGCAGAATTTTTTTCCTGTGTAGGCAAGATGCTGGTCATGAAAGCCCCATATTGTGATTAAACCAAAATGATTGCTCAGCTTGATCGTATATGAATATAACTTTGGAGTCAAGTAAAACGTTTTGAAGTTTGTCAGTGTTTGCTTGGTAGGTCATTGCTGGTTAGCAGAGAAGCAGTCGCACAATGAGCCGAGTGCTGCCATGAATGTTTGCATGATTTGCTTTTAGTTGTGCCTGCCCCTTTCTGATGCGATGTTTTTCCCCCTTCCCAAATGCAGGGCTTCAGATAACAGGGAGCGTGCTTATGAACATAGTGCCTATGGACACCATGAGCGGGGGACGGGAGGATTTGATCGGACGAGACATTACGATCAGGATTACTATAGAGACCCTCGGGAGCGGACCTTACAACACGGGCTCTATTACACTTCTCGGAGTCGAAGTCCGAACCGTTTTGACGCTCACGACCCCCGTTACGAACCTAGGGCCCGGGAGCAGTTTACATTGCCCAGTGTGGTACACAGGGATATCTACAGGGATGATATTACGCGGGAGGTACGAGGCCGAAGGCCGGAGCGGAATTACCAGCACAGCCGGAGCCGGTCGCCACACTCGTCGCAGTCCCGGACGCAGTCCCCGCAGCGGCTGCCCAGCCAGGCCGCCCGGCCCGCCCGCTCCCCCAGCGGCAGCGGCTCCAGGAGCAGATCTTCCAGCAGTGACTCCCTCAGCAGCAGCAGCAGTACCAGCAGCGACAGGTAGGTCCCTGTGCCGGGGGCGCGCGGGGCGTTTGCCGAGGCGGCGAGGAGTTGTGAGCCCGGGCTGTGGAATGGTGGGGTGTTCCACGGCAAAGCGTCAGTCACTGATGGAGAAGTGAACTGGAGTGAAATGTAAAAAGGCTCAGTTGGAATGAGATGGATCTGAGGGGAACACTGCTGGCATCACTGATTGTTTTCCATGGTGGATCTGTGCAGCGTCCATGAGGCACTGGCTGGGCAAAACAGGGATGTACGGACACGGGGCCTCGCTGCCCATGAGCTGGGGGGATGGTGTGACTTTGGTGTGTTTGGAGAACGGTGTGACTTGTAGGTACTTGGAGAACAGGGTCACTGTTATGTGCTTCAGTGAGGGAATAAGCACATTTTAAGGTCAGCTACTTTTACAGGCCACAGTTGAAGGTACTTTGGGAAAAGGTGACTGGTATTGTTCCATCTCCTCTCGTTCCCTGTCACCGCTGACATTTAAAAGGTTGATTTGTCGCCTTCCCATTTTTTCCCCTGTTGCCTCGCAGCAAAAATTGTAGACTTGGAAGAATTAAAAGGAAATAATCCAAGTTTGCTGTTCCTAGTGATGCACCCGTGTCCTTGGTTCTGTGATAGTTCTGTATTTGTGTGGCTTCATAAAATACCTACAGGGTGGAAAGAAGGTGCTAGAGGTAATCCCTGATTTCTTCTAATAATTTTTAAATTCATGTTGAAGTGCCTCTCTGATTTTTAGCCTTTTAAGAGTAAATTTACCCTGAGACGGAAACTACGAAGCTACAATTGCACCCGTAAATGTTTTCTGCTCTTTGGTGAAGAGCTCTGCTCCTCAGGAGGGTTTGCAGAGTTGGCAGCGTTCCCTTTGCATACCAGGTCTTTTCTAAAACTGAAAATATTCATTGAGTAAATAAGTGTATCAGTAGAATAAATACCTAGTGTTCGATTTCACAAGGGCTTGGAGTGACAGGACAAGAAAATGGCTTCCCACTGCCAGTGGGCAGGGATAGATGGGATATTGGGAAGGAATTCCTCCCTGTGAGGGTGGGGAGGCCCTGGCACAGGTCTCCCAGAGAAGCTGTGGCTGCCCTATCCCTGGAAGTGTCCAAGGCCAGGTTGGTGGGGGCTTGGAGCAGCCTGGGCTAGTGGAAGGTGTCCCTGCCCATGGCAGGGGGTGGAACAAGAGGGACCTTTAAGGTCCCTCCAACCCAAACCAGTCTGGGACTCTGTGATTATCACCATGAATGGAATTTACCACTGGTATAAATCTCTAATCAAGGTAATTATTCTCACCAAATCTTTCCTGCTTGAACGTTGGACCTTCTGGAAGGGTGATATGGGCTGACACAGGGCAGAGCCAACAGAAGGGAAGATGAGGAAATCGTCTGATTTCCTCATCCCCTCATGTGTAAAGAATCATGCCAATATTTATTTACTTCTTTTAATTATTGTTTTCTCTTCCTGGATTTAGAAATCCAGGTGGTGTCTTGGCTGGAGAGCAGGTGAAGAAGATTTGAGAGGACTTTTAGGCTGCTTTAAGCGCCTGTTTGTTTATTTCTAACACCTCTCTCAATGAGAGCTTAAGGCTTGGATAAAGACAACCCTTTGTCAAAGACTTTTCACACTTATTACCACTTAAAAAAATCCCGGAGACTTCCAGAGGTCTCAAAAAAAAAAAAATCCTAGAGAAGATGGATTTGAAAGGAGGGCTGGTTACATTTAAGGTTTAATAAAAAAATCCCAAGCAGAAGGGGGGGGGAAATCTCTTCTGGTGCTCCTTTGCTTCTTGCAGAGTGAGAAGGGAGTCCAAGAAACTTGTAATATTTGTAAAATGTCATTGTTGGGATGTTGAGGCGGGATGAAATCCTGTTCTGGATTTGAGAGGACTAAATACGATCCCACTGGAACTAAGTTTTCAGATTTAATGAGAAGAAAAGCAGCGTCTGCTGTGCTTGAGCGTTTCATTTTCTTGGCAATTTCTGGTTGTAGTAATGGAAAAGTAGACGATGCTCAGGGAGGAAATAAACATTTTTTTCTTATTAATATAGTAAAATCAAACTCAGTTGAGCGAGTAACAGAATCTGGTGGATTGTCTATTTAATTTTGAAGAGAGAGCAGTTTTACATGTTGCTCAGCAATCGGTGAGATATTAATAAACATTTAACCTCTCTTTACTTTGGGAAGCAAAACCCCACCTGGCCTTGAAGCCTTTCAAAGCACAAGTGTTTTTTTCTGTTTGATTTTTAACACATTCTGAATTTTGCCACGTAAATATTAAGCCCCTCATACCCTGTGGCGAGCGAAAGCTGCCTCATCCCCTTTTCACTCTGCTCCCACTCACTGTGCAATATCCAGTTTCATTTGTCAGGAGAATAATTATTTCCTGCAATTTCCGTGGTACTCTCAGGGATTTTAGCAAGCTGGAGATTCTTACGGCCTTTTTATAAATGAAAATGTCCAATTTTATGAAATTATTAAGGTCTTTATGGCACTGAATTCTTCTGAAGCAGAAGAACTTGGTCACTCCGGTCTCAGCTGGCAGGTGGAAAAGGCAAAGTTGTGTTTCCTCAGGGAGGGGGTGTTTGGGACACACGGTGGGTGTTCAACACCGGTGGGAGTTTTTGTGCCTGGCACTGTCCTGTGTGAGCTGTGAGAAACGAGCAGAAAGGTGGTGAAGGAGAAGTTTGGGCTTCCTTGCTTGTGGTTCTCAAGAGCTGCATGAAGGAAATAACACTTCGATTAAATGGGGATGATTTTCCTGGACAATAACGTCAGAAAAATTGCTCTGCAGATTGCTTAAAAATTAAAAAACAACCCAAAGAAAGCCTTTATTTCATAAAGCTTCACAGTTTGTTGTGTTGGCTCTCAACTAAGCTTTGATTTAAATTGCTGTTTGGAGGCCTTTGCAGGTAATGGAGCTGCAAGGGAGTAATTGAGAAACTAAAACCAAAAAAACCATGTTAAAAATAACTGATATTCTGTGAAGCTGGACTTTATTCGGGGTATTTTGTGGCCTCTCTGAAGTTGCCCACCGGGCTGAGGTGGGGAAGCTGCTGGATGTGGGTGGTTCCTGTGTGGATTTGAGGAGGAATGTGTGTTTTGAAATGTTCTTAACAGGAGATTGCTCATTCCCCACCCATATCGTGCAGAAGGGTTGATGGAATTTTTTTATCACCTTGAAAGAGTAAAAAAACCTTGAAAATTATAATTTTCCGCCACCAGAAGCCTCAATTTCTCTGTTTTGGTGATTCAGACGCAGACCACAAATGATATATTAGCAAACATATTTTCTGTACTGTGTCATGGAAGAAGCTGGATATGGATGGAAGCTGCGTGATCCCATAGGAAGCAAACCAGATTTTGTTTGTGCCCTGCCCAACCTCCTGGAAAAAACAACCAACCTCCTTTTTTTTTTTTTTTTATTTTGTAGAAAAAGCTCTTTTCTAGGCTGCTTGTTGAGGTGCTCTAGTGCACTAAAAATAATTTCTGGGCTTTTTGATCCAGTTTTGTAACGTCAGATGGCCTGACACATCTCTTGGAAAAAACAACCCAACCCCTTTTTTTTTTTTTTTTTATTTTGTAGAAAAAGCTCTTTTCTAGGCTGCTTGTTGAGGTGCTCTAGTGCACTAAAAATAATTTCTGGGCTTTTTGATCCAGTTTTGTAACGTCAGATGGCCTGACACATCTCTTGCTGCTCCATGTGTTAGTAATTACTTTAAAGCTTTGCTGCAGGGATGTGCTGAACCACCTCAGAGTGGGACGTTTCGCTCCCAAAATCCATGTTGGGATGAGATTTAAATTATTTACAAAATCCTGGCAGCGTCTGATTTCCTATAGGTGAAGTCCAGGATGTGGAAGTGGAAACGCCCTGTGTGTAAATGTACAGATGAGCGACCTGAGATTTCCTTTTGCCTTTAATTTATTTTTTAAGAATGTTTACTTAGTTGTCCGTTTTCAAGGGTGCTGGAGGATTCACTAAGTTAAATGAATAATTTCATATAGTTTGCAATGTAGTCACCTTTAATTTATTTTTAAGAGTATTTATTTGGTTGTGTCGTGTCAGGGATGCTGGAGTTGGATGAATAATTCCCTATAGCTTGTAATATAAAATAGATACTGTGGAATTAAACCAGCAATTTCAGCTTAGACACAAAACTTGTTTTATTTTCACCAAGATCTAGGTGAGCACAGTCATTCCAGCCCTGCTGAAATCAGGCAGTGGGAAGCAGTTGCATGTATAGATGTTTGAAAATTGAATTTTTTTTAGTAATTCTAATAGCTGTGCTTAAAGTTCTCATGGCAAGTGGACAAGGCATAAGGTAATTAGAGATTGGTTTTAATTTTAGATTTCTCTTAGATGAAATTCTTTCTGGAGCAAGGAGTTACAGTTGGAATGGAATACGTGTGTGTCTTAATATTGAAATAAACTGATGGAAAATACTGCCAAGAGAATTTTAATCATGGGAAAAACAGGCTCCCTGAAACCTCCCGTGTATTTTATTTTGTATGGGACTTTCTTACCCTGCGTCAACAACTGAAGTGAAAGTAGAAAAAAGTGAGTTTAGTTTCATTACATAATGCAAACCTTTCCCTACCATTGTCTTCATCTCCTCCTTCCCGCTTTGTTGCTGCCAGAAGTGATGAATCACTGACTTAGCTGGGATTTGGGATTTTGAGAGGGTTTGGAGATGCCTGTGCTGAGAACAGATGAAAAATAGGGAAAAATGAGGTTAAATGTAGCTGTTTAGTCTTTATTGAAGAATTTGTGAGATGGCTTTTGTCGAGGTTCAGTAATTCCACATAAATTTTGCGCTGTAGAGATGAGCTGCATATTTTTCATGTCTTCTGGTTAGAACGGCAGGGTTGAGCACGCTCCTGTTTGTATGGGAAAAGAATTAGGTTAAGATTTAAAAATGAAAATTAAAGAATTTCATAGAGTAGGAAGCCTTTTCCATTTCACAAAGGCAACAGTAAATCCTGTTAGAGTCAGGTGAAACCTCATCTTTACCTTTTGTTCACATAAACCCATGTGCTGCTTTGATGTTCTCTGTGCACGGCGAAATGTGAATTAGGGAAAGGAAAATTAAAAAAAAATCCACCTCAGATACTCGCAGGTTTTTGTTACCAACTGTCGAGCGTTTCCACTTTGTTCTTCCTTGTGTTTCTGCTCGTCTCAGCCTGTGCTGCTGCTCAGCTAAATATAACCGAGACCATCCTTTAAATGTGGTTTTTTTACCCTTGGGACTGTATCGAGTTTCTTGAGATTGAGCACAGGCAGAACGTTTTCAGATGGCTCTGGAGACTAGAATACAGAAAGCAAACCTTTATACATGAGATCTGGCGAAAAAGACGTACCCGCACATGTGTAACCACATAAATAGATCCTCCCGTAGAAAAAAATGCGATATATCAGAGATCTCCTCACGGGCGGTGAGGAAATGGTGCCTCGGTGCCCTTGGGAGGGACCAGCACAACCCGCCCGTCCCTCAGCCTCCGCCCCAGCTGCCGACAGCCCGCATTACCTCACCCCTGGACTCGGCACTAATCTATTAAAAATGTGCGTTGCATAATAAGATTTTTATCTCGCTCAGAAACCCCGCCGCTTTCTCTCGCCTCACGGCCGGCGGAGCGCGGCCGGCGCTGTAATGGCGGCGCGGCCGGGGGGGCGCGGGCCGCCTCGCGCCGCTGTTTTTGGGGAAAGACGGTGTTCTTTGGGGCAAAGCGAGTGTTTTTCAGGGCAAAACGTTGTGTTTTTGAGGGGAGAGCAGCGGGCGTTTCGGGGGAGAAAAGCGGGTGTTTTTTGGAGGGAAAGCGGGTGTTTTGGGGGAGAAAGCGGGTGTTTCTGAGAGAAAAGAGGGTGTTTGGGGGGGGGAAGCGTGTGTTTCCCCAAAAAACCACTCTCTTTTCCCCGAGAAAGCGGGTGTTTGGGCGGGGGAACGGGTGTTTTTTGGGGAAAAGCGAGTGGTTTTTTGGGGGAAAGCGGGTGTTTCTGACGAAAAACAGGGTGTTTCTTTGGGGGGAAGGTCTGTTTTTGGGGGAAAAGCGGGTGTTTCTCGCCGCGGTGTCTCCGCGGGCGGGGGGCGCTTGTTTGTGCTCAGAACCGGTCTGAGCCGGCGGGAGCCGGACCCGCCGCGCCGCCCCCGGGGCGGGGCCGCCCGAACCCCGCGGAAAAGCACCACGATTGCCACAAAAAAACTCCATTTTTAATTAAAATGTTATAACAGAACACCCCCCAGCCCTTAACGCTGGAGCAGCTCTCGCTCCTGCGTGAAGGTTTTCCCTCACACAACGCAGGGAAGGGAAGCAGCAGCGCCTGTGTCAGAGCCAGCTCTGAGGGAGGAAACCGCCCTCTCTCCCGCTCAACCTTCCAATTTTAGGTTGTTTATTTATTTTTTTATTTTATTTTTTTCAATGCTCTACAAGTTAAGCACCGGTTTCCCCGCTGGAGGGCTGAGCCCCAAAAATCCCCAAAAGGGGTTATTTTGGAGCCCGTCCTCATATCCTAACACCACCGTTGCCGTGAAAGCACACAATTTCAAAATAAAATAGACATTTAACATTGTTAGTCACTCTGGGAGAACTCATCCCCCATCTTTTAAATACATTGGCAATAATACTTTGAAACATTATAACCGAGTGGGGTTTTTAAATTATTTTATACGTCGTTTTCTTGGCATGAGCGGCCCAAAAAAAGAGTGGACATTTGGCTGCAATTAATACCCCCACTCCCAGTAATTGTTGGTAATTGCTGGCTCTAAATGACAAAGCAATTAAGCAGCTTCCTAAATGTTCAGAAGTAGATGTTTATCTAAATCTGGGCTGTCAGGCTTTGTTTCTGTGTTGGGGCCCAGAAGCTCAACTGCTTTCTCAAAGTTTGATTCTTCACAAGCAGAGGGAAAAAAATCATATCTTTTTTTCAAATTTATTTCAGGAAAGGAGTCTTAAAAATGCGTCATGTTAGGGATGGATGAAGTGGAAATTACTCTAGAAAAATATCTTTTGTTTTATTACAACGGTAACTTTTTATAATCTAAAGTGATTTTATTGTTTTGCATTCCCTTAAAGAGATTATTATTTTATTTTCAGTGCTGTAAAGGTTTCTTGCAATGAGATCAAAGTCTTTGGTAGTGAATATGAGGATTTCTGGCAGCTGAATCCAGATCCTTATGTGAACTTGCCTTTTCCTCTGCTGGGGGAGGAAGACCCACTGTGTGTTAAAAATAACATTTTTAAGTCACCCCTGGACAGCTGCTGGTCTGTGGGAGCTGGTATCTGGTGTGAGATTTGGCGATTTCAGATCTTCCTAACCTCCTTATTTAGGAATGGTGGGAAAAACCTGAGCTGTATGGAAGGCATTGCTCTCACCAGCGTTGTGGGAGACTTTGGGCTATTCCTTAAATCCGTGGGAGCTGCTAAAAACTGCTGTTTTCCCCAAAGGTCAGGTGCTGTTGGTGGATTGGGTTTGACTTTGGGGTTGTGCGTGCGCGTATTAACAAAATGGTCACTTCTAATTGCATTTTTAAGGCTTTGATTTCCTTCCAAGTATTTTGCTTAATCATCTTGAGTAGGCTGAGGGAAGGAAAGAATTAGCTGAGGTCAGGGAAGTTGAAGCTGCCCGTGTTACTGCTCAGAAGCTGGGCTTAGTCTGAGGGATCCTGGAGGCAGGAAGAAATTCGCTGTACACCGAGAGAGCAAGGGGAAATCCAGCCTGAAAAAGCCAAAGAAAACAGGGAAACGTGGGGTGCCTTAGGCTGTGATGGCTCCGTCACTCTGCACGAGTGGTCCAGATTCTCCTTTCTTTGGGAGAAACACAACCGGGATGTGAATCATCGCTGAAATAGATTAGAGGGATCGGAGCCTGGAAGTGTTTGTCTGCATCGATGTTGGAGTCAGACAGCTCACATGGAGACACACCACAGGCACCAGAGGTGGGGGAGAGCATTCCTGTCCTAAAGACCTTTGGCATAATGGGCACTTTAATAATTTCTAATGAATATTCACGTGGTGGGATGAATAGCAAAAGGGGAAGGCTGTATTGAATGCTTCCTGAAAAATACCCGTCATTACGGTGATCAAAGGAGAAATCCAGCCCCCGCCTGGGCTCAACCCTATGGTGTTCCTATTAAAGCCTAGACAGAGCGTCCCTTTGGATTTGCAAATACAGCGATTTGTTGGCTGGGTTTTTTTTTTCCCCCAAAGAGGGTGTTTCTGGCTCTGCCAGAGGCGTGGATGCAGGAGAACCTTCCCCTTAAAACTTGAGGGCTGGGAGAGCAGCTCTCCTTGCAGCGACCTGGCATTAGCCTTAAAAACAACTTTAGGTTGTGCTTAAATAAGGTCACAGGGATGAGAATTAATGGTAAATAAGCCTTATTGGGGGAAAAAAATAAAAAATAGTATCATCCCCTAATCTTTGCCCGTTGAATTAACCGTGTACCTGATGGGCTTAGCTTTGTCCTTAACGTCCAGGCATCCTCCCGACCTCGCAAGTGCCCAAACCACTAATGATGGCATCAAGGTTTTAAGTGAAAAAGCTTCTTAGCAGGAGATTAGGGATCCCACTCCAGATCATCAGCTGGTAATGCCACTCGGAGAGGAGGAGGCAGTGCGGCACTGAGTGGAAAATCACAGACTTGGAGAGAGGCGAGGGCTTCAATGTTGTGTGGAGAAATAATTTATGTGCTGGGATGTAGTCCTAATTTTTTAAAACCTTGAAGTACAAGTGGAGTTTCCAAAAGGAGGAAGAATGAAATGTGCACTATGTAGATGTCATGTTAATCAAGTCCTTGCATAATTATTCATTAAGTGCCTAATATAAGAACAAAAATAGCTCTGGCATTAGGAAACAAGACTTCTCTGTAATCCCTCCTCGCAACAGCCTCGTAACAAAGGTGGGGAGCTGTTGTTTCATTTCTGGTCCTTCCAACCACGAGTGCTGTCTCCTGTCTGGAGAAGTGAGACGCGGAGCCTTTTAATTCCTTCTCTCTGAGAAATGTCTGGGCTTCCATGTGCAGTTGCTTTATTTAGCTCAAAGTGATGGTTTTGGCTCGAAGACACTCAGAAATCCAGGATGGCAGGAAAAGTACCTTTTGGAGAATCCTTTCTACGAGAGGGAAGTGGTTTTCAGGGCAATCTCATTTCACGATTGCCTGATATTCTCCATAGATGTCCAGAAATTTTCATCATTTTTATACTTGGGCGAAAATACAAGAACTTCATCAAGCCCTTTAAGAATCAGGAGTAATTAAGACACATCTCCAGCAAATCCTGGCACTAAGGGCATTCACGTGTTTATTATCTTTCATCCGTTTGGGAGTAGAGAGCTTTTCTAGCGCGATAACGTGTGAAAGAAAGGCACTGTTCTCCCTGAAAGTGAATTCCCAGGAATGCCGGCACTGGGTCCCCGCAGACAAACAGTGCCAGGCTGGGCTCAGGGAGATGCAAAGTGTCCTACTTACTGTGGCTGCTACAGGTCTGACCTCCTTGGATCATCTGACACCTCGTTGGGTAAGAGGTTGCTGCAAGATCTCAAACCCTCAAATTATGTAAGATTTACACACTTGCTTTGAAGTTGGTCCCTCCCTTCCATGTTTGTTTACTGCCTGGTGTGTCCTGTTGGATTGTGAAGGATGACTAGTCACAGAAAGGGAGCTGTTGGGTTAGTACAGATTTTCTGTTCCTCTTGGCTTTCTAGACGCGTGTGGAGCTGTGCTTATCCCTGTTCCGGAGTCTGGGAATACGCCGGGACGTCCTTTGCCGGCCGGGGCTTTGCTGGGTGAAGTTTTCAGTTTGTTTGTTTGTTTTTGAGGTGGAGGGAAGAGCAAAAAGGCTCACTGTGTTGCTGGAGGAGAAACAGAGATGGTATCTACATTGTCTCAGGAGTTGTTGTTGGGTTTGCTTTTTAATATTCAGTTTCCCTCCGACTTGGAGAAATCACGTGCGTAAAAAGGAAGGTGCTTAATTAATACTGTACGTGTGGCTGCCAGGGTTTGGGGGCTTGAAGCACCAGATCCCATCAGGGAAGCACGCAGGCTTTGCCTGTGGGAATTCCTTGGAGGACTTCTCTTCCATCCTGTCATCTTCCACTGCTCCTCCTTTCCCAGCTGCTCCCATGTGCTGTGGAGGTCAGGGGCATACAGGCACTGGATCTAGGGGGGTGTAAGGTATTGTTTTCTGTATTTTTCCCTACTTTTCTATTTTCCCCACAAATTAATTGCTCATCAATGCTTTACAGTCCCTGGTCAATGTGATGGAACCGGCCCAGGCTTTTGGGAAGGAAAATCCATGAACTTTTGACCATGTGTGGAGATTTAATCACTAAATCGTAACAAACACCACGGAATTAAATTACAATAAGGTGCTTTATCAGAAGTTACTCTTAAGTGACAAACACTGTCATATGATACTGGTTTTCCTGGGTTGGTTTTGGGTTTTTTTTTAATTTCTAGACCTGGCATTACTCCCCATAGTTGCTCAACATAAAGATACATTCTTCCCCCCCAGCCCTTTATACATTCACCAGGCTGTGGCACTTTACCCGTTCCGTACAAACACTGTCTTTTTTATTTTATTTTCTGCCCATGTGAAATCTCACAAAAAGTTCTACTTTTAGTTGTATTTTTATTTGCATGTGGGCAGCAAAATGAAGTAATTCCCAAATATAGTCCTAGCCAAGAGATCCATCTGTTCTCTGCATTTTTAAATGGCAAATTAATCCTTAGCATACAACTCATCAAATGTCTTCTCTTCTCTAATGTATGCTGCCTGAGATCACAGAAATGACATTTTTTTCCCAGGCCTTCCATTTTAAGTAGTCCTTTGCTCCGGAACAGCAGCTCCCATTCCGGTTCTACAGAGCACTCCTGTGCTTCTTCCAGTTAC